CCAGCTACTCGGGAGGCTGAGGCAGGAGGATCGCTTGAGCCCAGGAGTTTGAGGTTGCTGTGAGCTAGGATGACGCCACGGCACTCTAGTCCGAGCAGCACAGTGAGACTTTGTCTCAAAAAAAAAAAAAAAAGAAACGTTTCTTACATATTGCAATAATATATTTTTTAACCTGCACATCAAACTCATTATGAGGCCTTCTGTGAGAATATAGGAAGGTCGATATCACATACGATAATGTCAAAACTTCATAAATAACACTCCTTAAATTTTTCTTCCCAAAGAAATATTTCAGATGTAACAGATACTGATGATCCACCACAATTAAATCAATTTTTAAGACTTTGTTTTATCTGCTTCAGATCCAAAAAAATAAAATATAGATATAATGAAAGCCCCTTCCTTTCTCCCTCATGCCCAGAGATAATCACTATCCTAAGATTAATGTATTCCTTTCCCATGTATGTTTTAGTACTTTTGCTACATATATAAGGATCTGCAAACAATGTTTTATAATCTTACACAAATGGTATCAAAATGTGTTTAACCTTTTGCAACCTGTTTTCACATAATGTTTATGAGATAGGTTAATGCTGATGCAGATGTAATTCACTAACTTTAACTGCATAGTAGTAATCCATTCTATGAACAAACCAGTTATTTATCAATTCCCTTCTTGAAGGAAGTAAGGTTATTTCCTCTTTGTTTAAATAACTTTGTTTGCTTATTTAAATAAAATAGTACTACAATAAACATCTTGGTCCATGTGTTCTTCTGTACACATGAGAGAGGTTTTCCAGGGAAAGGAACCTAAAAGTGGACTTTCTGGGTTGTAGGACATATATTTTCACCTTTACCAAGAATTGTCAATTATCCTTCAGAATGGTATCAACTGACACTCCCATGAGCAAAGAATAAATTAATCCCACTTTTAGCATCTTCTAAAACATTTTAAAATTTTTTGATAATCTGATGGGTGTTAAATGATATTTCATTGTTGTTTTAATTAGAATTTACCTGATTACGAGTAATACTGGTTACTGAGCATCTTTTTTTCATATGTATATGTATGATACACAAGCCATTAAGTTTTCCTCTGTGAATTGCTTATTTAAAACCTTTGCCTGGCCGGACGTGGTGGCTCACGCCTGTAATCCTAGCACTCTGGGAGGCCAAGGTGAGTGGATCGTTTGAGCTCAGGAGTTCGAGACCAGCCTGAGCGAGACCCCGTCTCCACTAAAAATACAAAGAAATTAGCTGGACAACTAAAAATATAGAAAAAATTAGCCAGGCATGGTGGCATGTGCCTGTAGTCCCAGCTACTCAGGAGGCTGAAGCAGAAGGATTGCTTGAGCCCAGGAGTTTGGGTTGCTGTGAGCTAGGCTGACGCCACCGCACTCTAGCCCAGGCAACAGAGCAAGACTGTGTCTCAAAAAAAATAAATAAATAAAAAATAAAAATAAAACCTTTGCCCATGTTTCAATTTAGTTATAACCTTGTTTATATTTATTTTGCTTTAAACAAAATCTCAAATTCATTTTCAGACATCTGAATGGTCTAAATCTAAAATAACAAAAACACAGATGCCCTAAATCACAAACAGATGCCTACAGGCGCCAGCCAGACAGGTGAGGGCAGGAGACCACTTGGAAGCTATGCACAACCCCCTAAAGGAAGGAGGAGGTAGCCATTTCTTGGAGCCAACCAATTACTGCTATAATGAACAAGCAGGTTTAGAGATGACTTAAAAAAAAGGTCACAAATCCAGATTTCGTGTAATCTCCCAAGTTTTAATTGATGCAACTAATTCAAAATTTTCAAAATTTTGTGTAGACCAAACAAAATCTGAGTGCAGGTCAACAGTACTCTTAGACCACTGAACAGACCACAAAACTGGGTAAGAATATCAGAGTAATATGATATCTGTATGAAAAAGCTATATATGAGAGTAACCATTTTATTAATAACCAATATATATTTAAACATAATTAATTACAAAATAAAATTACCTGACCTAAATTACAGATAATATGTTACTAAGCCTGTAACAAGCTGTCAAAATCTCTAACATGTAAAGTGAAACCACTTTGGCTCACTTAAAAAAAAAAAATCCTCATAAATCTTCCTGTTTCAACACAAAAATGTCATTTAATGAATACTTTTTTTATTGTTTAAGTGGCAATATTCCTTCGCACTGTTTAATTCACTAAAACATACCTAAACAGCACTAAAACCTTTATGCCCAATTGGACATTTACAGTACTACATTTGAACAAAAAACAAACAAAAATTCTGAAATACAGAGAAACAAAGCACTTACTGGGATATACTCCAAAGGGTAAAATGAATAAAAATCTCTTAGAGTTTGAAATTTACGCCAACAGAATAATAACAGTGGTTTGGTTACCGGTCATAATCCTTATCTAGGCAATCGCATTTTCATCCATCAACATCTACAGTGAATTTAATGGTAGCCAACCAGTTATCTACCAATGTCAAGATACCTCTACAACATTACATATGCCAAATTACACTTAGCACACTACTATGGTAACTATTCTGAGAGAAAGTATTTGTGTACTTTGGAAAGGCACAGTGCACAACATGCAATTACAAGTACATTTCGATTCCTCCTGTGTTTAAGGGAAACACACCTGTTTATACTAATGAATTAAACTGCTTGTTGAATAGCTACTAATTTTTTTCCCCAGCATACTGCCATTTCTGGAAGGATGAGAGGGAAGAACCAAAGGAACAAAAATACGTATCCTAAAAATAAAACTCTACTCAATTTTTAAAAACTGGTCAGTATATTCTGTCCCATATAAGAGATATACTGATTTTAAAAGCTGGCCAAACAATGGGATAATCTATGGAAAACATTTATTTTATCACTTAGTGCCTGATATAGATGTTAAGACACACACACACACACACACACAGACACACACACACAGATTAAATCGTGTTCTTTTTTTTTTTTTTCGAGACAGAGTCTCACTGTGTTGCCTGGGCTACAGTGCCATGGCGTCATCCTAGCTCACAGCAACCTCAAACTCCCGGGCTCAAGCGATCCTTCTGCCTCAGCCTCCCAAGTAGCTGGAACTACAGTCCTGGCTAATTTTTTCTATATATTTTTAGTTGTCTGATTAATTTCTTTCTATTTTTAGTAGAGATAAATCGTGTTCTTATATCATCTAACAGCATTCACCTAATAATTTATAAACTGCCTGATTATGATATAAAATTTAAGAACTATGTGCTATATTACATGGTACTTTGGATATCAGCATATATGTACTATCCAAAGAATTTAAAATATCCATGTGTTAATGTGTCATGGGATTAGAGATAAAAAATAAAAAATAAAAAATAAAATAAAATATCCATGTGGACATAAGCAAATGTGCCAACTACAACACAGCATAACACTGCTCTTTTGTTTTATGTTGAGACGGAGTCTTGCTATGTTGTCCACGCTGGTCTCTAACTCCTGGGCTCAAGTCATCCTCCTGCCTCCACCTCCGGAGTAGCTAGGACTACAGGCCCACACCACCACAACTGGCAACACTGCTTTTTTTGATGATTTCCCAACAATACTGCTGAACTGATGATGCAGTATGTGATTTCTCACATACTGACATCATCATGTTAGTAAATATTACCTGTGTGTTCCACCATCAAAAAGACAGGTAATAATTCAAAGAAATTTCAGCATTAAAATTGTTAGTTTCCAAGTTTAAAATAGAAGTGAAATGTTAAAGTCGGCATATAAATGTGTTGAAGCAAATGTGTTGATAACAAGCTCATTTTCAATTTTTCTACTTGATGCTATCAAAGGATAGAATGTTAGTGTATTCTTTCTTTGTTTCAAACCTAGGGTTAAATCTTCTTGGACTCCTATACAGACTACATTTCAACCAAACCAAATACTAAGTAAGGGTTGTACTAAAGAGGCAGCTTGACCTTTGGTGGCAATTTTACAATGGAAGTTTCCTATGAGCTAGGGAGGCAGCAATCTGAGATAATTTTTTCCTAGATGAGTCTTTACTACAATCACTCAGGAATATATCTTACATTTACTACAGTAAGACCCAAGAATTTTTTTTCCTAATTGCCAAAGTCCTGAGATTTTAGTAAAAGAACAGTGTGACAATTCCAAATACCAGTCTGAAGCCTAAATCATTTTGCCTAATAAGTGATTTCATCATCAAAATATTGTAATAATTGTTGCCTTGGTGGAATAGTGCTATTAATTTCTAAAGACAATATAAGCAGCAAATAATTAGTAAACTCAAATTGAGCCAAGCTTTCTAAAAAAAGAGAGCAAGTTGCAGAAGGTCGAAAATAAGTACCACTAATGTAAAAATCTTTAAATACACAGGACATTGGTATTTGTTATTGTGACTACTTACATATGCAATAAAAGCTTAAAACTATACATAGGAATAACATGCACCTACCTTAAGACGGAATTTATCTCTGGGGGTAGGGGGTGGGAAGAGATGGAAATGGGCTTTAGTAGTATCTGTAATATTTTATTTCCCAAAAACAGCATACACAGTCTGAAGCAAATGGGGCAAAATGTTAATATCTGTTAAATCTACTGGTGGGTTACTTTTCTGTATTTCTATTAATAAAATATTTCCCAATTTAAAATAAAACTTTAAAGAGATTACAAATGACCAAATAAATCAAGAACCACATACTTGTATGGTATTCGAAACAAAATCTCTAAAATCTGGAGAACTAATCTCAGTTAACAACAAAAGCTATCAGAATGCTCAGTCCTTTCCCACTGACTCACATACAGATTAGAACAAGATTTACTTTACAATTAAGAACAGGTTCATTTATATGGCAAAGTTCAGAGAAGCTTCATAGATAATTTACTACTCAAGATCACATCTATATAGCCAGGTTATATTAGACATTATCAGTTCTCTAGAACCAGGAAGTAAGTTTAAAAAAAAAAATGGGCCTGGATGAAAAGCCAAAATACATGATACAAAGTTCATACAATAAAGCTCAAACCCTTTACTCAGAAGAGAATCCATCAAATTCTCACATAGAAATTTATTTTTACGTTCAAACAAGCTTGTTTATCTGGCTACTTAGACATCTTCTGATCAAGCTCAGTAAAATAGGAGAGGGAAGACATTACACAACAGGCAGCAACAAGGCACAATAAGCAGCAAGAAGTAATAACCTGAGAGTAAGGAAAACAAACGACCTTAAAACAAACGACCTTAAAGAACAGATATGAGGCCGGGCGCGGTGGCTCACACCTATAATCCTAGCACTCTGGGAGGCTGAGGAGGGTGGATCACTCAAGATCAGGAGTACAAGACTAGCCTGAGCAAGAGCGAGACACTGTCTCTACTAAAAAAAAAAAAAAAAAAAAAAGAAAGAAATGATCTGGACAACTAAAAATACATATATAGAAAAATTAGCCGGGCATGGTGGCACATGCCTGTAGTCCCAGCTACTCAGGAGGCTGAGGAAGCAGGATCGCTTGAGCCCAGGAGTTTGAGGTTGCTGTGAGCTAGGCTGAAGCCACGGCACTCCAGCCCGGGCAACGGAGTGAGACTCTGTCTAAAAAAAAAAAAAAAAAAAAACCACATATGAAACTAATAAATTACAGCACATACTTTGGGGTAACTTATATGTTTATAATTATCCTAGCATCAATAACAGAGGTTCAGAATGATATCTAGTATTTAAAAAAAGAAGAGAAACAAACCTAGATTATGAGGAATTATAAAACTTAAATAGATAATATATTTTAGGAATATTTCCATCCAAATCAGTAAATATTTTTTTAAAGTCTAAGTACCTCAAAGGGTAAGCTTCAGTTATCTGGAAAATTCACTGCAGAATTCACTGCCAGATAAATTAGATAAAGCTTAATATACACAACAGTTTCTCATACTTCTTTCCTCATAGACACATTTCCAAAAACAGAAGAAAATATCTGAATAAATTCAATTCCTTAACCAATATTTCTGATTTAATTTCTTAAGACCATTTAGTGATCAAGCACAATGCTGACAAATGATTAATTTCACCATTTTTTAAAGTAATAAAAGACTGCCAGAATGACTGCATAGAAAATATGCAAAGTTTGGGCAGAAAATTCCGTAACACAAGGTTGACAATAACATCCACGTAGGTGCCAAGTTTTTAGCCTGCCAAACAAATTACTGTATCTGTAACTCTCCTTGTAGTGCCAATTTAATCACTTCCAACATGAATATTTTGTTGGTGGAGGCCAGGGATTGGCTAGCATATCCTGATTTCTGGCCTTCAAGGATGAACTTCATTTCTCCAACACAGGTAAAACATTTCTATAAGAGAAAGCCCAATTACTGTACACATAACCAGAAATTGTAGCCATACTCACATAAACCTATAATCCATTTTAATTTATTATCCACAAAGGGAGAGAGTCAGAATTTAAAATATCTACAAAAGTCCATTGCTCTCAAGTATCCAATGTAAAGGGAGGAGAGAGGGAATGAAATGAAATGAATTTTGGGCCTAGAGAAAAATCTCTCTAGGCCCCTAATAACATATTTTCAAAATCTGCTGAATTAGACTACACTCACGTGAAAGAAAACTTAATCACTGCACATTGACTAATTTCTTCACCTTCCTCAGGAGTCCACACTTCAGGCCAGGTTAAAAATCCACTAAGTTTCTAATATGTAACCTGTACAAATACTCTGGGCTTATCATAAAATTTTGCAACTAAAGCAACAAAGCAACTTGCATACTTTATGTAATGTGATTCCAACTGTTAGGAAACTGACCCAATACCAGTTATAAATCCAGGTTTCTAGGGATATGAGTTTTTGTCAATATTTTTAAATTTCCATAATAAGATACCACCTAATGCCACAATTTAAACTTACTACCCCAATTCATGGATTTCAAAAACATGCTTTTTACTTCTAACGTTAACTCCTCTTTTACCCTTCCAAAGACATCAGTGGGTACAATAAAAAAATCCAATCATCTTTTTTTATTTTTAACATATAAAGGGTACCCCCTCCATATAGTAAGTGATGAGGGGAGATTCGTTTCCTTTTTTTTTTTTTTTTTTTTTTTTTGAGACAGAGTCTCACTCTGTCACCCTGGGTAGCGTGCAGTGGCGTCATCATAGTTCACTGCAACTTCAAACTCCTGGGCTCAAGCGATCCTCCTGCCTCAGCCTCCCAACTAGCTGGGACTACAGGTGCACACCACAAGGCCCAGCTAATTTTTCTATTTTTAGTAGAGATGGGGGTCTCACTCTTTCTCAGGCTGGTCTCGAACTCCTGAGCTCAAGCAATCCTCCCGCCTCGGCCTCCCAGAGTGCTAGGATTACAGGCATGAACCACCGCACCCAGCCCCAATCAACCTTTAATAAAACCTGTGAGAATTCACTATCATGCCATCCTTAATTTGTGCTGCCGTCTAGCCAGAAAAAAATGTTTTGAAAAATTCATGTTACTTAAATAATCCATTTAATTCCTTGTATCAGATTAACATACAACTGCTGCTAGTATCTACTACATTACCTTGTGCACCCTCAATGGCACAAACCAGTCTTCCAAATATTTCTTATCTCTTTGGAAAAGTAGAAAAGGGGTAAGGAGAAGCATGTCACTGCTTGTTCTATCCCGACACTTAAAGTCACTTCTTAATAAATAATCATTCAAAAATCTGTACTATTTTTTAAATTTTTCCCTAAATATGTATGCTTCCCAAAATTATAAACCCATTATGCCAACTAATGGGATAAAGAAATAAATGATTTTTTTAATGTTAGTCTTTTCACATAATATGAACTCATTCATCACTAGGTCCTTCTGCCGGAAGGTCTGCCAAGTCACAAGACACACTACTGTTTACAATCCCTCCCATCTGCCTCTTGCCAATATATATCAAACACCCTAGTCACTTGGCTTAAACCACAGTCTCCCAAATAACCCTCCCAAATCCTAATTTAGACCCAAGATGCACTCACTCTGATTCATATTCTTAATGGAAAAATTTTAAATCACCTGATTTTCACAGGGATAATTTCTGCCTTTTGATACAGACAGACCCTAGAGCTCTCATGCTTTCACATCAGTGCCCCAAATCTGACAGTATACTTTTTATTTCTGTACTTTTAGACAAATTTTCAATCCAAGTATCATACCCTCTTGGCTTTCAAAGATAACTGACAACTTTCAATTCATTCAAGTACCAGTCTCCATTTATTTTATTTCATTGCTACATACACCCTGTTTTTTAAGGTTGAGGCCTACTGATTTTCCCCTGGCTGCAGTAGGAATAGAAATGAAACAAAATATATATATTACCACTCTTTTTACAGATAATTATTAAACACCTCCCATTTTTCATTACAGGCTTCACATTAACACATCATATAACATTGTATCATAAATGGCTATTGTTCAGGACCTTTGTAGGGCATCTATACTAACGGTCTCCAAAATCAAACAATACTTCAGATAATGCTGAGAGAGGAGAGAGGGGAGTGTGATTCACCAAAAACTGCAATGAAGAGTAATGGAATATTTTCACCAGTGATATGTTAAAACTAACAGCTTCTTTCAGAAGACTCTACTGCTAAGCAACCATCACTGTAGCAATAAATCCATCAGCTTTAAAGGCTACAAAGCTAGGAAGACCGGAGGAAAAGCGGAGATGGGGTTCTCGGGCAGCTTCTCTAGAGGTTAGGCGAGAACAAAGTCACTGCTGCACTGTCACTTGAGGGGAAGGGGGAGGGGGCGGATCATCTTGGAAACCCAGCCCCTGGGCTGGAGCAGGCGGGGAGAACTCAGCAAGGCTGCCTGGGATTAACATTCTCGTTCTCACCCTCTCCCCCCTTCTAGAAGCTCCCCTCCTCGCTGCAGCGCGGCGGCCAGAGTCCCAGATGACCGCCCCTTCCAATCTATCCCCCGTGGGGTGTAGGGAGAACCAGAGAAAAGAACTGAGTCACAAGGTTGACACTGAACGGGGACTCCCATGACCCCTCCGGCCTTCCCTAACCCCCTCCAGCCTCTCTCAGAACACTACCAAGCTCGGAAGGGCCGAGGGTGGGGGGTAAGCCCCGCAGAGGTGTGCTCGCCCGGGAGGGGCGCACGCGCCAGGCCGGCCGGCTCCCGGGCGCTCCCGCAGCGCGGCCCCAGCCCCGGGCCCAGCCGAGGAGGGCAGAGCACGCCGGCCCCGGCGCCCCGCGGCCGCCCAGAGGGGCGCGCCTGTCCCCTGAGCCGGCCTCCCAGCCCCAGCCCCAAGGCCCACCCGCCCTCCCCGCAAGGCCCCCAGTGCAGCCCGCGGGCGCGGCCTAACTGCTCGCCCAGCAGCTCGCTCCCGGCGCCCAAGGGTTGCCGTACCTGGGCGGCGGCCTCCAGCTTGCCCTCAAAGGTGAAGTCCAGCAAGTCGGGCTTGAGGCAAAGGCTGTAGTTGATGGGGGAGACATCGGCAGGCAGCCGCTCGAAGGGCCTCTTCTCCGGCATCGCGGCGAGGCCCAAGCTGTGGAGGCGGCGGCGGCGGCGAGAGGAGCGGCTGAGGAGGAGAAGGAGGAGGGAAGGAGGCGGAGGGCCGAGGAAGAGCAGGCGGCGAGCAAGGGAGGGGGCGGCGGCTGCCAGCCACATTCACCGAGCGCGGGCGACTGCCTGAGGAGAGCGACCGGGGGAGCCTAGGGGGCGGGGGAGAGACCCAGCCAGAGCGCTAGGGGCCGGGAGAGAGGCGTTGCGGGCGGGCGGGCGGGCTGCCTACGGGGAAGGGGGCGGAGGAGAGGGAGGAGGATGGCCCGCTAGGAGGGAGGGAGGGAGGGAAGGAGGCCGCGGCAGCGGCGTGCGCGGCCCCGCCGACCGGGCGCGCCCCCACGGAGTGCGCGCGCGTGCCGGGACAGGGGGCGGAGCCGCGAGGGCGCGGCTCGCGGGGCAGGAGGGCGCTGAGTCGCAGGCGCCGGCGTGGGGCGTGGGGTGTGGGGCGGCTTCGGTCGCAGCACCTGTCGGCGCTGCTCCGCGGAGGGGGGCGGCCATGGAGCTGGAAGGAGCTGGGAAAGCGCTGGAAAAGCGGAGGCAGAGGCGTTGAGGGGCTCCTGAGCCGCCCCGGGAAGTTGAAGCCTACTCAGTTGGTCAGTTCAATCAGGCTAGCATGCTAAAATGTCATTTCAGAGCAAAACTCCAAACTGGATTCCACCTCCAGATCAGCGGAAAGCCCTGACTTGAGGCTCTTTGGCCCTAATTCCTGTTATTTTAAGTAGCAAGTTCAAGAGATGACTTGAAAAAATTTTTGTCATAAAACCTTTAATAATCTAGGTTTCGCCAATCACTGAAATTTGGACCTTTGAGAGAGTAATTTCAAAGATTAGGAAGATTTTTGTTTCCACAATTTAATATTGAAAATGTTTCACCTTTTTCCCGTTTTCATCTTTGTTTCTGCCTTTTAGAAAGTAAGACCCTTCAACAATTACGTCCTCTTTAAAGATGAACTATCAGTGTGGCTCCCTCAGTTCTGTAAATATCTGGCAAATTGAGATACGTATATATTTAAATGAGAGATATATTTAAATGAGGTATATATACGTTTAAAGGTGACAAGAGCAAGGAGGTTTATCCATAATCCCCATATTCCTCTGTAGACATTTCTCAAGTAGGAACCCCTTAATTTCCAAGACTCAATGCAGAATGTTATACTGGACCAGTGCTGTCCAATGGAAATATACTGTGAACCAGGAAGTAGTATTAAATTTTCCAGTAGTCACATCACAAAAAAGTGGAAAGGAAACAGATGAAATTAACACATCTTATTTAACCCAACCTATCCAAAATATTGTCATTTCAACATGGAATCATTATAAAAATATTAATGAGATATTTTACTTATTTTTTCATACTGACTTTGAAATATAGTGTGTATTTTACATTGACAGAAATCTCAATTCTGACTAGCCACATTTCAGGTGTTCTATAGCCACATGTGGCTAGGGGCTATTGTATTAGGCAGCACAATTTTGGACACTGGGCCTGCTCTCTTAGCTTCTGAATCCTACGTACTTTTTAGAAACTGGTTGGTCAGTTCAGTAACAATTGAGATGTACTTTGTGCAGGGCCCAGTACTGAGAATAATAATATAATCAGAATAGCATAATCATTCCAGCATCTGAAATAAGCAATTAAAAAAATAAGAATAGAAAATTGAATAATTTTAAAAATTAAAAACAAACTAGAAGGACAGACCGAAAAGCTGCAATTCTTTCAACATAAGATGTGAGATGGGGCCTTTTGTTACATGAATGCATTTCTATCACCATTTCTTGGTCATAGAAATGATAATAATTTTTTTTAGAGAGAAATTCTTGCTCTGTTGCCCAGGCTGGAGTGCAGTGACACCATCATAGCTCACTGCAACCTCTAACTCCTGGGCTTAACTGATCCTCCCACCTTAGCCTCTTAAGTCTTGAGACTACAGGCACTTGCTACCACACCTGGCTAATTTTTTTTTTAATTTTTTGTAAAGATGGGGTCTTGCTATATTGTCCAGGCTGATCTCAAACTCTCCTGGCCTTAAGCAATCCTCCCATCTCAACCTCCCAAAGTGCTGGGATTACAGGCATAAACCACTACACCCAGCAATGATAATTTAAATAACATATAATAAAAATTTAATTAACTATAATTAAATATTTATTGAGTGCTTACTAAACACTTTTCATGTTATTAATTCCTGTAATCTTCTCAACAAATATGTGAGGTGGTCACCATTATCCCATTTTACAGAAGACAAAACAGGCACACAAATTCAGTGACTTGCCCAAGGTCATATAGATAATAATTGGTAGAGCTAGCATTGGGACCCCAGCATGTTTTTCTCTCCTGGAGAATTTTGCAGCAGCTTCCCTATTCTAACTCTCTAGTTTGTTTTTTTTTAAATTAATTAATTTTCTTTTTGAGACATTGTCTTCTCACTCTGTCGCCCTGGCTAGAGTGTAATGGTGTCATCATAATTCACTGAAACCTCCAGCACCTGGGGTTCAAGCAATCCTCGGGCCTCAGCCTCCTGAGTAGCTAGGACTAAAGACGTGTGCCACCACGCCTGGCTAATTTTTTTTTTTTATTTCAGCATATTATGGGGGTACAGATGTCTAGGGTACGTATGTTGCCCTTGCCCTCCCCTCCCCCCGCAAGTCCGAGTTCCAAATATGTCCATTCCTCGGGTGGGGCGCACCGCACTCTTTGTGTATGCACATACCCGTCCCCTCCCCCCTCCCCCCCTGGCTAATTTTTTCTAATTTTAGTAGAGACAGGGTCTCACTCTTGCTTAGGCTGGTCTCAAACTCCTGTGCTCGAGCAGTCCTCCCACCTGAGCCTCCCAGAGTGCTAGGATTGCAGGCATGAGCCACTGCGCCCCGCTCTAGTTTTATTTTATTCTAATCCCTCTGTATCTCAGCTTCTCAAAATGTTGTTTTCATTATGCAAGAACCCATAAGGCTCCTTCTTGTCTGTTAAAACAAATTTGATTTGTCGCCATGTAAGGCTCTGTATGAACTGTCTTTACCATTTCCCCAGGCTTGTTTTTTCTTACCCTTAAACATAAATTGTCCAGTTTTAACAAGCTAACCTGTTCATTGTTTGGCCCTTACAGCTTGTTCATTCTTTCTTCGCTACTGTAGTTCATGCATTATTGCTGGAATGAGCTCCTCATCCTTTTCAGTAAATCTGTGCCCCTGTCTTCCTTCAAAACTCACCTTTTTCCGGAAAGTCCTCACTGACTAGCCACCCAATTCTAACCCCTTTCCCATCACATCACAAGTACTGGCTTTTGCTGATTTATTTGTACTTGTTGTGTTGTTCTGTAATTGTGTTTTAAATTTGTTTTACATGTATTTTGTTGCCAGATGTACTGCTAGCAAGAGCTTGCTTGCTTTTTTTTTTTTTT